GGTCAGCTGTCAGTTTTGAAGAAGCCTAGAGAAAGCTATATCAGCTAGTGAATCATAATCATTGGCCTCAGAAGGAGTTCAAACCCTTATTAATTGGGTTTCCAAATTGAAAATTTAGGGCCCAAAAAAAAATAGCATTATAGAGGTACCTTTTTTCTAACGGGGGTCTGAATAAATTTTGAAAAATTTAGCATTATAGAGGTACCATTTACTAATCAGGATCCAACATTATTGAGTTGAAAGTCAGCAGGTTTATCGCAGCATGTGCTTGGTGTGATGCATGTCACATGTCCGGGCCTGCTTGGGTATGTATTAGTCAATTTTGCTCTCCATGCAAACCAAGACCTGGAGGTTGGGAGTTTCCTAGTAGCTTCTTGTTCCTAGTAGCAAGGCCAGGGGCGCGCCTAGTAGCTTCTTGCTGCTAGTTGCGATGCCCTTGCTGCTAGTAGTTTCTTGGACCAAGGCCTGGAGGTTCAAGTTTCGATTTTAAAGCTCAAGACCCAACAGTCGATCAGACCGTTAGGTCCTCATTAAACCACATTGAACCACAGAAGGTCAAGCTCGGATGCACTGTGGCGTCTAGAGTGGCGTCTGTGCGTCCTTACATGCGTTAATTTCACCACTTGAAGAACAAGCTCGTGGGCCTTATCCGATAGCGGCTCTTTGTGTCTCAGGATCTCATGCCCAGTCGGAGCATGGTGAACTTTCCAAAGCTCTTGATCCAGGCAGGGATGCCCAAAGAAATCAGGGAGCTCAAAGAAATCAGATTTTTAGAAAGCACAGAGATGGCAAACTGAGGATGACAGGTTGGTTCGTGCAGGAAAGCTCAAAACGAGTTCCATAATAAGAGCGCTTGATGATTTTATCCTTTTAATGGGAACTTGCTATGACGTTGATATCCAATTATATCCACAGGTGATGCACTCTTGAAGCCTTTTAAATTACATATCCAGCAAAACCCAGACACTCCATGTATGGCATATATGCCTAGATTGACATTGACCTATTTCAACCACCCCAACTGATCGGCATATACTCCAGTCCCATGGAGTGTTTGGGAAATGGACGAATCGCACAACACAGGCCCGAGTACCGCGCACCACCACTGTTGCACGAGGGTCACCGCACCACAGTCGACACTGAGGCGCTCATGCGCTTGCCAGGAGTGCCGCCAGAGTCGGACGTGGTGGAGGCCATGTCCAACGGTACCGGAAGCCGTTTGACGCTGGACCACGGTCGCTTCGACCGCGCGCTGTTCGAGCGGTTGCGGAAGAAGGTCCTGCACTACGTGGAGGACGGGAACACGAAGGTGAGGGTCACTGGAAACGTGCATGTTGCGCTATGTTGCGCTGTTGCCTCTCCTGGGGAGACGAGGGGGAAGAGGGGAAGATCATTTGGGGAATTTCAGCCTGATTTGATGGAAGCAGTTTTGGACATGATGTCCACTTCTTAATGATTGCAGTTGTCAAGTTGGCCTTTAGAAACGCTTTTTGCAGGCCTCAAGGAGGGAGTTTTGCTGGAAGCAGCCCTGTGAACTCCCCAGACTTGGTCGCTTAGGCTCGGAACCGGACCGAGCTTGAAGTGTTCGAGCGATGAGGGGAACCGCAGGCATTCTTGTACCAATAAGACTAAGACATTGTAAGACTGTAATTAAACTCCCCCGTTTGGGACTAAAGAACCTCTTCAAAGGGTGGCTTTAATCACTGTAATGTAACAGTCTACATCATGTGCGTTCTTTTGTTGTCCAGGAGTTCATGCTCAGCTCACAGAGGCGGGAGTGTTTGAGCACAACTCGAGTGTTTGAGCACTGCGGTGGCGCCGCTGTGGTGGTGAAATTGAATGTTGTGGATTGTTGTGGTGGTTGTGGTGTTCAATTTGCCATCTCCTAGCTGCTGTTGTTGTTGTTGTTGTTGATGTTTGCTTGTCTCTGGTGACAGGGGGTTGAAGTTTCCAAGGATGTTCAAACAACCAAGTGCAAGACGTCTCGAACAAACAATCATTTCGCTACTGTCTTTCCATATAGTGATCTTCATTAATGTTCAATCCACTGCTTAAATGCCAAGAACACTCGGTTTATGTGGTCAACCTTCCACCCGGACTGATCACCGCTCTCCGAGAAGCCGGCACGGCACAGCGGTCATCATCGGCACTCGAAAGGAATAGCCGTCGTGGACGTCGTTGGGTCGTTGGGTCTGGGTGGAAGAGATGGGTCTGGACCAGGGAAACAAGAGATGTGAAGAGGTCGGGATATGTCGGGATCATGTTTTGGGAACCAAATCATGGAAAACCTACTATTTCAGATCATTTCAGATCTGTATTTGATTTAGATTGTTTCGTTTTTTTTCAAATCCTTGGACGCAACCCAAGATCTTTGGGTTGTCCATCCCAAGATTTAACTTTGCAAAACAAACATCACCCCAAAACCCACAAAACACTGAGGGCTTTGGAGTTGCGCATCACCACGCCACGCGTCTTCGTGCATTCCACCTGCACGGCGGCCAAGCCGGTGGACTATCTACGCCCCTCGGCGCGACCGGGTCGAAGGGGGTCGATGCACCGGAAGAGATGGTGTCGGGTCAGCAAAAACGCGAGCGCAAGCATGAAGACACGAGAACACACTGGCAGTCACTAGCTTGCTAGTCAGGTCAGGAAGAAGTAAGAATACATTATAATATATATTGTAATAGAATACTTTTTTTACTATTGTCCGGTAGGCGTTGCTTTGTTGTAGTGTTGGTTTTGTTAGTCCAACTGTGCAACTGTGGAAAACGCCTTGCAACGTGGGTCTCGTTGTCAGAAGCACGGAAGTCATGCTTCTGGACTATCGAACAACTTCAACAAAAGGCTTTGGCCGCAACTACGGTAATTCTGATTCCTTGTGGAACAATGTGGAACACTTGCTTTTTGTTGCTTCCTTCTTAATACATGCTGGAGGTATTTACACAATGGCTCAATTGGTCCCAACATGCAACATGCTGTCCGCAGCTGCCTGACAGATGGAGATCGCCAGGCGAATTGCTGGTGATTGGCTTGTTGGAGTTGGGTTTGGACGCTCGGATTCGGTCCACCGCTGGGGGAGGTGGTGGGTTCTTCGCTTCCCAAAACCCACACATGACTAATGGGACTGGCATGCCTACATTGACTCCTGAAACCACCCCAATGTAGGCAAATATGGCAGTCCCATGGAGTGTTTGGGAAAGATTTTGCCCACCCCTCGTGATAACATGTGATAACCGCGGTTACGGCCTCAAGAAGAGTGGATGGCATGGCCAAGCAGGGCATGAAGTGGAGTATATAAACCGGGGTGAACTCCACTTCCATGTTGGTGAGTCGGAGTGTATGCGACATGCATGGATGCATGTGTGCATGTATGATTTCGGGAAGGCCCTGACCACCAACTCTGAAATTCGGACATGCAAGAAAGGACGTGAAATCTGAAAGGACGGGCCTAGTGTCATAGGCGGTCGTTGCCTTGTGGCTTCTCCCTACTGCCTTGGTCTTGACATGTTTTGACAAACCCTTTTCTAGAGGTGAAAGGTGGAGGGTGTTCCCTTGCTCGGCCGTGCATTTAAGAAACCAGTTTGATCTAAATCAATAAAGGCATTGTTTGACTTGTTTGCAGAGTTCTTGTGGCATTGATTGATTGGTTGGTGGCTGGCGTCAGCAAACCAGCTAGACAATGCGAAATGCGATCACTTGACAACTGGGTTGATCATTCCCATTCAAATCGAGGAGATTTATGTGAACTGCGACATGAGCTACATTTTTGCGGACTTCGATGTGGCTAGCCTCTCGGCTGAAAACAAACGAGGACCTTTCGGTGTGACAACCGAGGAGCCGGTGGAGATCCGGGAGGGACAACTGAGTGCGAGGACCAGTGCGATTGTATGATGAGAGGGTGCATGTGCAGGGACGACCAGGGTTGAACCCCATAGGAAACCCAAAGGACAACAATCACTTTCCTCTTTTAATGCTTCGACCGGAAGACCTACTGGTCGCCTTTCAGTAAGGTGATGGAGTGTTTTGGGTGACTTGCACATTTGTACATCAGGGTTTGCTTTAGACAGATCTGGAATGGCTGAAGTACAGCGGTTACGCCCAGATCCGGAAAAAGACGTGTGTCTTGTGATTAAATTACCTATCATGTCGCTCATGGTTTTCCCAAGTGTTCACCCTTCATCAAATCCCAGACACTCCATGGGACTGCCAGATACGCTTGCATTGGGGTGGTGTTACTTGGGGGTCAATGTAGGCATGCCAGTCCCATGGAGTGTCATGGCAATTGCATCCAATTGAACCAGCACGCTTTTGGTTCGCAGTGCCATTCGCAGTGCCACCGAGGCCAAGCAGAAACCTGGAAGACGCTTGGACGAACGCGGAAGACGGGCCGGAATGGCTGGTTCCCAGCCTGTGAGGCTATCACAAGCTGATAGAGAGTGACTGGTTTGAAGGGGTAGGTATATGCCATATGCATCCATATGCAAACTCTTGGTTGATACAAAGACTGCCCAACAACCTACAGTACCCCCCAGATCATTCACCCATCCGGTGTCCATGGGGGCGTCCTACCATTCTGGTTAAGCAGAGACTTAGTTTTGACACCGTCAAGTTCGTCAAGGCAGCCCAATGAAAAGAAGTTTTTGTAGACCCCGAAATAGATAGAACAGGAGATCCCCACTTAGAACATGTATTGTTCACCGTGCCACTATCTACTCCGGGACCACTACAAAAAAGTGAATCTCCCCGGCCACTCGCCACTCTCCACGTCCCAGCGTAGTCAAAACAGTCACGTCACCTCCACAATCAGGATTGGGTATTGGTTTTAGTCATTGAGAATTGTTTTGTTTGTTCAACAGTTCAACATTTCCATGTGTTGTCCTTTCTTGGGCTAGTAGATCTCCAAAAGCCCAGAAAACCACACCAAGGGCCATTGGTTGGAGTTGCAGTCTTAAATCCTCGATTCCAAAGAGATCCCTTGACCTTGAACTATCTCAGATGTTTCACCAGACCCGCCCCCTTCAGCCAGGACCTCTTATGGCAGAGGTTTCCTCTATGAACGTGCCCTGGAGACCTCCGCCCAACAGCGACTCACTTTCTGGCGCACTGGGGATCCGGTGCCCTCCGAGCCCTTGACGTATGTGGCCTGGTTGGAGTAGGCGGTTTTCTGCCACAGCGAACGAGCGAAGACATGAAGAAACATCACCCAAAGACCTGCCACCTGAGGCCATTGGTGTGCTTTAATCTATATTAATCCAAGCTCAGCGAGATGTGCAGTGGAAGGGAAGTCAAGGAATGCAACAAAAAAACTTGTGAAGGTCTCCAACTTGAGGCGTTTGGCTTTTGTTTCTTCACCTTTGGGGATCTTCTTATTGGCATTTTGGGAGTCGGATCCCGGGTGACGTGCTTTTCCAAGGTGAAGACCACGTACAACAACAAGCCAATCCCTCAGGACGGGGACCCCGTTTCCCGTTTCAGAGGAGCTTTTCTCGCGACGCCCAGCGACCCAGCCCGAACAGGTGTTGCGTGGTGGAAGATGTCCGACTGGTTCTGGAAAGATGACAATATGCCGATAGAAACAAGATGAAACATCGAGTGTTACACATCTACATAGCTTGACTCCAGCGCTCACTGCTGAAGCTTGAAAGTCTGAGAGATCCCACCATGACGCCGAGGGATCCGACTAGGAAAAACCAACTACCCGGACCCATGTTAGCTTTCTGGTGTTTCCTTTTGCGTGTTTCCTTGGGCATCTCCCCAGTTCAATGCAGACCCGAGACGTCATGTGTCCTTTGGACAACACGCACTCGGAGGAGGACTTGGTGAGCCGAGGCGAGTGGGTGCGTGCGTGCAGTTGTTCGGGGTTTGGCAGAGGAAACGGTAGTCGCCCATGGGGTTGTTTTCGGGGGTTTGTTTTGTGCATGAGCATGGAGCATTGCTTTCGGTTTTTCAACATTCTTGATCCCAAGAATGACCACCATCAATTAATTACTGCAAACAAATCAAGGACAGCCTGAACATTTTCAGTCAAGCTACCCTATAAGCTATACGCACTTTTGACCTTCCCAGAGCTTAGTGACTAAGTGACAAAGTCATTTTCATATTGTGACATCGCTCACTTGAACACGCCGGCCTGACCCAACAGCTCTAATTCTCGACTTGTGTGGAGACCTGTGATACAAAGCCCGAGCATCATAGTGTGGTAACACCTGTTCATGGTGATCCTTGCCACTTCCATTCGTTGAGCCACCGGTGGCCTTTGACTCCAAATAAATACCCCGCGTCCAAGAAAGCTTGACCCAACTGCACCTCAACCCCAAGAATCATGTTGAAAACACAATGTTTTCCTCCTCAAGGTGTGGATTTGGTGGTGGATGGCAACGACATTTGGGCTCCTCATCATCCACCCCCAAGCAGCGCTTTGCAGCGGTGGTTCCTACGAGAGGGCACCAGCTGCCATGAGTTCCAAAGGCCAGCTCAGCAGGTGCTGGCCATGTTGGACTCAGGTGGGAAGGGGTTCACCATGGTTCGCCCGGTTGGAACCGGTTGGAACTAGACGATTCGAATGGCGTGTGGCCCATGGCGCCACGGTTCGAAGATGCCCCAAGGGTAGGGACCTATAGGGAAGCTCATCCATGGGCGGGGCAGCTCACAACGGTGTGAAGGGGATTTGTAGGGGATCATCTAGGGGTTCATATGGGTTCATTTACGGGTTCATTAGGGTGCTGCTATTGGGCTGCTAGAGTGCCAGAGGATAATTGCTTTCAGTTTCCGCTTTGCCGATATGTGTTATCATTGGAATCGAACACCACCATGGATAAAGCGTGAGTTACTAGCATTCAATAGTATTCAAGAGTTACAGTACTAGCATTTCGATCCTAGTTCCCATGTTGGTTCCTTTTTGCCCCCTTGGTCTCCGGCCTTTAGGGGAAGTTGCAGAACTGGGTGTCTCTGTGAGACGGCTCCGGGACGAGTCATGCTCGCCAGAGAGAGAGAGAGAGACAGAGAGAGACAGAGAGGGAGCTACTAGCATTCAAACATGTACTGAAAATTTGACTGCACCAATTGCCCGTCCACTGGTCGCACTATTGGCAACCGTACTAACTATCCTTGTGGGTGTTCCCAGCCGCCGAGCCAGTATGAAAGATTGACCTGGCCACTCCACTCCCTTGAGAGCTTTGCCAAGAGGCTCAGAACGTCGAGGCAGCATCAGTGTTATGCCCACCATTGCCCACCTGTGCCTGCCACCTCCCCCCCAAACAAATAGTCATGAGCAGTCTGTTTACAGTAGTCTATAGATGTCTATATATTCCAATTGTTCCCGGCACGTACTGACCCAGCGCCACTGACTGTGCTTGTGGCTGCAGGTGATTTGTGGAACTGCGATCACGCTCCGGGAAGTCATTTGTGTCCAAACCTTCATGAAGCTGCAAGCCTGTGGTATGAAGGCAGGGGAGTTTTTTTTGGAACTGGGCCGCCACCAATGGGCCTTTGGAAGCCGAAGTTGGGGAACGACTGGGTGCAGGAACTCAGATGTGGAACCGAACTTGCCAATACCAACTTCACAGACGGTTGGTGAAAGGTATGAATAGGGGCGTGTGGCCCCTATTCATTCAGTTTGGACACTTGTTTTGATCTGATATTATATTAGGTGCCCCAGCTTCGGTGGCCTATACAGGCTGGATCACTTGCTGCATGTTTCTCGATAGGTCTTTCAAAGACAGACTGACATGATTGTGGCATCTTGTGGCACGATGTCATGTACCATTTGGGCGAGCTTGTGGCACGCTCCTTTGCAACCCCGACCTCCAGGTGTCATACCCAGGTTCCATGTGTGGGCTCGGTCATGTGTGGCTCGACATGTCGCGCTTTCACCCCCGACCGGGTGCCGAACAAGAAGGGCGACCCCGATTCAACTGGTCCTGAATCGCACGACTCACACCACCGAGAACCCTTTGAGCCCTAAAAGGCACGGGGCCCTTGAAGAAGCCGAACGTCCTTCGCCTGCAGGTATCCCTTTTGGGGCTGAAACAAAGCCCAATTGCTATTTTACTGTGGGTTCCTTCACCTTGTTGCCCTGGTGAAGAACCAGGCGAAACGAGAATGAAGAACCATAGATGCCATAGTGCTACACATGTGCATAGTTACGACTTACTAGTGTGCCTTTATGGGCCTGGAGATTTGACCCTCTTCAGTGCAAAGTGGTTAGCAGCTCAATCAAAGGTTAGCGTTTAGCCTTTCTTGGGTGTTTTTATTTGCCCTACTCAACTAAGAAATGAGAGTAAAGCCTAAGCCATATCATCCAACTTTCAGGGAGCAGTTTTTAGAGGAACTCGTCTTTTTGGTGAATCAATCGATCATCCAACAAACCCCCAACATTTGTTTGTGTTGTATTGGTTTTGTTGTTAACATAAGGGATGTTCCCCGCGGCGCATGTGTCATGCCGGCCGTGCTTGAGGCCTTCGGGTGCTCCCGGCTTTGCGGGCTTGGAGGGGCTACAGGAGAGACGACGAGACGAAGGGGGGGTTTGGGGATGTGTTATTTGTCTTTTAAGAGGGGCACTGTCCAGGCGGGACGAGCATATGATATGTTTTATTTTTTGGAAGTACCAATTCAATGGATCCTGACCAAAATGGGCATGTGGCATGGCAATGTTATTGCGATAAGTGCAAATTGGGAGCCATTTGGAGTTGGGATTCCCTTAAGGCTTGGTCCCAGGATTATATCGGGCTGGCAGGTGTCACGGTATTTTTGGCTCGATTTTGAGTGGATCTGGTATCCTGGTCATTCCTGGCCCAGTGAACCCAAACGGGCCAAGGAGGGTTCCCGAAGCATCTCGAGATACGGTGTCTGGAGCCATGAGATATCGCCTCATGTGATCTCATTGAGCAGCTCGAAGCTCGCTATTTTGAGCCCTCAGCCGCTGAGATCAGGAATGAGGAAGCTCACCAGCGGCTCGTGGGCGACGCTTGGGATTATATGCACACGGTGCCTCGTCGTGTCAGATTTGCTCAACTGCCGCAAGTCGTTTGCGCAGAAGATGCAGAAGACCACTGTGAGATCTACCACGTCCCGCGACTTATACGGGGTCACATTCGCCAAGAACGCTCCCAGAAGTATGTCATTGGACTATATATCTATAATACGTTATATGATAAAATGGATGTATATTATATTTATAAAAATTTTGCCAGCTAACCAGGGTTCCAGTTTGTAACCAGGGTTCCAGTTTTTCAAGCTCAAATAGTGCCAAGAATGATGTAAGTTAATCAACAACATTAAACCAAAACAGTGCAAACCACCAGCAACAAAACACTCAATACAACAAGAACTTTGCAACAAGGAGTGAGCACAAGGCACAAAGGACTAGCCGCTGACACAAAACAACACGCTGCATGTGCACAAAGCATTTCATTTTCTCCATCGCCACCAGCACTCATGTCCAAGAGGCGCAAGCTATTACACAAAAATTGACACTGCCATTTATGGCACTACAGGCTCTCATCATGTTCAACCATTTCTTCTTCTTCTCACCCTCTAGGGGCAGGTCATCACTCGAATCCTTGGCATTCCTAGTGGTAGGTTCCAATGCTTCTCTCTCCGCGGCATCAAGCAATGCATCCTGCCAAGTTCAAGCGGTTACAAATGGCTAGTTGGCAAGTTCACTTAGTGCAGTGACATAACATCATGGTTAACTGAGTGGTTAACTGCTTGTTCAATCACAAATGTGCAGAATCCAAGACAAACAGTGCACCGCAACCTTCATCAAAACTGCTGACGTTGCATCCCCCCTTGTTCTTCAGCAACTCCTGCTTCAGCAACTCCTCGCATGGGCAAATCAACCACTGACACATGAGGCTAGGGCGGTGACATGCGGTGATGGTTGTGCACAAGTGTGTGTCAACATGTTGTCGTTGACATGGGCTGTTCAGTACATGCAAACAAGTGGCTGCGATCTCGTGAAACTTTGTGTCTGGCACACCATCTCGAGGCATCATCTTTCAGGGCTGAACAACATAACATGACATGAACCTGCTGCAGCTGGCTTCTTCAAGACTGGCTGCGGGTCTACCTGAGATTCCTGAGGTTTTGTTTCTTCTGGCTGACTCCTCTCATTCCTGGCTGATTTGTCCTTTCGTGGTTTCTGTGCACTCGCTTTTGCTTTGGCTTTCGGAGAAGCCTTGGCCTTTGGAGATTTCTTTACAGAAGCCTTCGGCTTTGCTTTTGTTGTCTTCGGTTTCGGTGTTAGTTTCGGCTTCCTGCTCTTACCCCGCCGTGCAGCCTCCTCATCAATCTTGAAACATGAGGGCGACTTGCCCCAACCACATCCAAAAAGGGCGAGTACTACACTACAACTTCGCACGCGAGAGGGGTGCTGCAGGTCCAAGCAACTAATGTAGCAGTGCGTGAGCGAGTATGTGCTGTTGCTTAATTAAGCATGCTGGAAATGCAACCTGAGCCCACGAGTTGTTGTGCAGTTGTTTGTTTTTCTCAAAGCGCCAACGGATCTAGATGCTACTTGGCCGGTAGTTTATCAAAACCTTATTCTGTCGACTTCCAGGTGTTATGCAACCGCTACCCCATCTCCTCACTGCCTCAACAACAAGTGGAACCACCGTCATTGCATTTGTTGAAGCTAAATGTCATAGCTATGAAGACATGAACCATAAAAGTCCAAGCAGTGATTGCATTGGCCACCCTTTACAGCAGTTGATCCCTGATTGAAAAAACCAAGACAGCTTACATGCTGTCCGTGCGTTGAGTGACACACGCGCTGTCAATGAAATTTTGGCCTTGACGCCCACAATGCAAGCCGGAGCAGAATTGTCCACCCGCACCTGAGCAATGTTACCCCTTTGACCCGCAAAACAATAACCCACAACAAGCTGCATTTACAACTTGTGTGACACGCTTTGTGAGGTTCTTACAACACCTCCCACCGACTTAGGCACAAACATCCCAGGTCACAGCACAGTGCTTGTTGGTCAGCAACTTGGGCAACTGGCCGTCTTTGACGAACAGCTGTCCCATCTGAGAAGCACGAATATTCTGCAAGTCGACATCACCGGGCAAAGGCTTTTGTTCAACAGCGTGAACCCGTTGCTTTGGTTGAATCTTGTAATGGAAGTTCAGCAACTGTTGCACATTGGCCAAAACCGGAACTTAGAACTTAGTAAAGTCCACAGAAAGCACATTGTTCCAACATTGTCGGGGTGCCAAACAGAGGTACTAACAGAGGTGAACAAAAAGGGTGTAGCAACTACGAAAACAATAACATCACAACTTCGACGTACAACTTGTCCACACTTGTCCTGCGCCTGTTCCATGTCACGGTCTGCAATAAAAATCAACTCCTTGCCATCCCTCCCCACCCAAGCCACCAAGCATGCATCATATTTAACCAAGAAGGGCAGGGAATCTATAGGCGGTGCTGTTGCTACGCCTCAGCTCTTCATGTGCGGGCGCCCAGATCACAGGAGTGTGTTGTGTGTTGGTTTGTTCAAAACTCTGCAACACCAACCCAACACTTCAGCACACAGGTACAAGCTTTTTCCATCTCCATCGCACATGTGTACATTGTTGTGGTTGTCACTTTAAGAACATGATGGTGGAACATTCATGGACTGTTCATGGAACACAGTAATTCTACTTGCTTTTGATTGTATTGCGCAACAACTCAGCAACTTTGAAGCACACTGGTTGAAACTACACGACCTGTACCTTCCACCAGTTGATTACTGTATGTTACTGTTGATGCACGTTAATGACATGAACCGGCCGTGGCACCCAAGGCAAACTCCTTGAAAGATCCAACGTTGAAGCCGATGAGTTCACCTGCCTGGATCTCAGCGTTCGTTTCACCCTCATTCACCAACCACAAGTCATAGCTGTTTGTGAGGCAAATTTTGACTGCTGGCAAGCGGGGGTATACTGCTGTTGCCATGATCCTTGGTAGTAGTTTAAAATAAAAATCGTCGCCAATCAGTAAGCAAGCACTGAAACTAAATTGCATGCAACCACTTAGCTGGCATGAACTTGAAACAATCAGGAAACAAGTAAACACAGACCTCAGCCTCAAAATGAACACAGCCTTCAACACACAGACCCGTGGCGACAAACAAGCATAGAATGATATAGAGGTACAGAATGAACACAACTCTAAATTAAACACGCTGAGCTTTACTGATGCACAATGAACATCACTGCCACAGTCTTCATGCAGTTGGCACACTGGTGTGAGTTTCGGAAATCTTGTGCTGGCAAGCTCGCATGTGACACATCCAAAGGCTTGTCCTGGTCAGTGAACTGTGGCAGGCACGCTGTCCGGGCGGGAGTATTTGTAGGCGTGAACTGTCACGGTTCCAGAAGCCTGTGTTGAAGCTGGTGTTGTTGCCAAAGCCCTTTTCACCTTTACTTGTGTTGGCGTCGACAACTTGTTGTTCCAGCCGCTTCAGCTTGGCAGCGTGGGGGGAATCTACCTCGAAGCGATTCTTCCGGGCATCCGGGATCCTCAACAATTAGTCAGTAGCGTGCGGACACATGAACAACAACCACATTGAACGATTATATATATATATATAGAGCCCTTAAGCTTGAGGAGGCCATTGACTGTGGTCAACGAAGTCAGACTGGGCTCACTCGCCGAGAACCCAACGGTTTTGGGACCAGCCTGTGGACAGGTGTCCCACCACTCCTGTACAAAATGCCCGATGTCAACGTATACAAACAAGAACCAACCAACACCAAAACATTCATGGAACAAGGCTCACCACAAGCATTCAAAACACAACACAAAAACCATCATAGAATCAAGTCAACAACATGTTGCAAAGCCCCGCTGTCCTCCATTGCTCGTCCCAACTTAAGTGGGGGGGTGCTGTTCGATAGTGGGTACGGATCGATTTGAGATCTTGGACAACGGGGTCGTTCGATCGCCTACGATGTGATCACGCCGGGAGACCCTCCAAAACCACCGTATAGCTGTGTGCGCCCTGCCTGAGCGTTGTACTCGTGTTTGCTCTCCCAAGTGTTGTTCAGCTCCTGCAAACATGCTGACTCCGACTGCGCCCAGTACTGCGCCCCGCAGCTCCACATGGTTTGACTGCATGCTCCTGGCCTTGCTACTACGAAGCAAGGACGCTACTAGGGTCTCATGGCATCGCTACTAGGAGCAAGGACGTTACTAGGGGCTCCTGGCAAGGGCCCTACTAGGGTCTCCTGGCCGTACTACTTGGAGCAAGTAGCTACCAGTAACAAGAAGCAATTAGGAACATTATCCAAGTTTTCCCAGTTTGCTCCCCAACTTCAATCTTCCTATTTGCCTATACCTACTTCGCCAATCCAATGCCCATACCAATGCCAGTACCGATCAACAGACCCAAGCAGTTCAGTGTTCGCCCCATGTTTTTCCATCCACATTGACTGCAGCACTCCAGCGGGACTGCAGCACGATTTCATTCCAAGATTCATTCCAAGATCCAATTCCCCCGATCGTGGTCACACAAACCAAACCACCAACATGAACCCTGACACAAGAACGAAAAAACAACCCACACACACTGATCATCAGAGCTATCTCACCTATGTGACCGACGACCGACCGGCGGGATCAATTCTGCTGCTCTGCTCCCTTTTGAAGCAAAGCAGCAAATCAAGCCACAGCAATTCGCGGCTGTCGCGGTCGCGAAAACTCCAAACCACATGGCTCCATGACAGTGAACAGGGCTCGGTCACAGTCACAGGCTACACTGTGACAGGTCCAGTCTAGTGTAGTCAGTGTAGTCCATTTTAGTTCATCGAAATCCATTGATGGAAGTTCACCGTGAAGTCAACGAACCATTGTGCCCTTCATGTGACCGACAAGCAATTCCCTTGGCTTTCTGCCAAATAAAGACATTTCGGCAGTCTGCCAACATTCCGACTCCAGGCTGGAATTAAAATTTCAATCCTCTGGAGCGAAGATGATCGTCCAACCATCCTCATCATTC